ATAACATATGTCCTTTATTACTAATCGTAGGACTTATTGTTTCAAGGTTATGCCGTTTGGCCTGAAGAATGCTAGGCGACCTACTAGCGCTTGGTGAACAAGATATTCACTAATTAAATTGGAAAAACTATGGAGGTATACATCGATGACATGCTTATCAAATCAAAGGTTGTCGAAAGCCAAGTTGAGCATCTGAGGAAAATGTTTGACATCCTCAGAAAATACAAAATGAAGCTCAACCCCCTAAAATGTGCTTTCAGAGTAAGCTCGAGAAAATTCTTAGGGTTCCTTGTAAATCAACGGGGTGTTAAAGCCAACCCAGAGAAGATTCAAGCTCTGTTAGAAATGAAAAGCCCAACCAACATAAGGGAGGTACATAGTTTGACCGGGTGTGTGGCCGTACTCAGCAAGTTTGTTTCCCAAGCCATAGACAGATGGTTACCATTCTTTGAGACCTTGAAAGGGAAGAAAGGTTTCAAGTGGACAGAGGAGTGCAAGAGGGCCTTCTAGGAGCTAAAGAAACATATGGGACAACCTCTTGTGTTGTCAAAGCCCGTTCAGGGTGAGCCACTGCTATTGTATTTGTCGGTATCAAAATCAGCTGTCAACGTGACATTGGTATGTGAAAAGGGAAATGTTTAGTGGCCGGTATACAATGTGAGCAAGAGGCTGCTCGACGCGGAGACGAGATACCCAAAAATGGAGAAGCTCACCTATGCCCTTGTCATCGCCACTAAGAAGCTACGACCTTACTTTTCGGCGCATTATATCCACGCGTTGACCAACTTTTCATTAAGGAAAATAATGCTAAAGCCTAAGGTATCGGGCATATTGATTCAATGGACAATGGAAATGAGACAGCATGATATAAAGTATGTTTCGAAATGGCAATCAAAGGTCAAGCTTTGATGGATTTTATATCAGAATTCTCCTATCAGCCGGAAGGGGAACTAAGCCCACCAGGGGCAAATACCTCGAAAGAAATCGAGCAGCAGAAGCAAAAGCTCGATAACCTATGGCAATGAACTCTGTATGTGGATGGCTCCTTGAATGAGAAGGGGACAGGAGCAGGGCTCTTGCTTGAAAGTCTCGAGAGAAACCCAATCAGAGCTGTAGTAAGATTCGGGTTTGCCACCTCCAACAACGAGGCTGAGTATGAGGCATTGCTAGCTAGGATCTGCCTCGTCAAGGAAATGGTGGTAGAGTCCACCAAAATTTATAGTGATTCCCAACTGTAGTCCACCAGATTACCGGGGAGTACCAGACGAAAGAAGATAGGATTGAATCCTACCTTCAACTGGTGAAATCCGAGCTCAAGTAGTTTAGGTCCTTCACAGTTCTTCAGATCCCAAGGGAGAAGAATTCGGTAGCCGCTGCCTTAGCCCGCCTGGCCTTAGCAATAAACTAAGAGAAAGCTGATTCCATATCAATTAAGTTCCTCCCAAGACCAAGCATTCTCGCTCCATAAGAACCAGTCTTAGCAAATAGTCAGAGATACAGTTGGATGGATGAAATCATTGCCTATCTAAGGGATGGTACACTGCTAGAAGGAAGAACTGAAGCCAGAACACTCTGCACAAATTCAGCTCAGTATATGCTCATCAATGATAAGTTGTATAAGTACGGGTTCAGTGTATTGCTACTGTGATGTATCGATCATGAGGACGCAGACTATGTTCTGAGAGAAATCTATCAGGGGATTTGCGAAAACCATGCAAGAGGTAGATCTCTAGCATATAAAGTGCTTCGTAAAGGTTATTATTGGCCAATAGTTTTTGATGATGCAGTGGACTATGTGCGTAGATGCGATAGATGCTAGAGATTTGCAGATACTCCATAAGCTCCACCTCAAGAATTAACCATACTGACAAGCCCCTGGCCATTTGCAATTTAGGGCGTCGACCTAATCAGCCCTTTGCCTCAAGGAAAAGGAGGCGTTAAGTTTGCAGTGGTTGTCGTTAACTACTTCACCGAGTGGGTAGAAGCCGAGCCTTTAGCTACGATCACGTCGAACAAGCTGAAGGATTTCGTCTACAAAAACATCATTTGTAGGTTTGGAATTCCCTACACTATAATAACCAAAACGGGAAACAGTTTGATAGTGAAGACTTCAGATCTTTTTGCGAATAGCTCGGCATCAAGAAAAGCTTCGCTACTGTCTACTGGCCTTAAGCCAATGGTCAAGTATAGGCTATAAACAAAGCCATCAAGCACACCATTAAAAGAAAGTTCGATGCTCTGAAAGGAAGATGGGTCGAAGAATTGCCCGAGGCCTTGTGGTCTTACAAAACAACAGCCAGGAGCTCGACAAGAGAAACCCCGTTCTCTTTCTCATATGGGTGCGAAGCAATGACCCCAGTCGAAGTAGGGATAAGTTCGTTCCAAAGGGCAGTTTTCAATGAAGAAGCCAATGAAGATCTTCTTCACCTGAGGTTGGATCTAATCAAAGAATATCGAGCCAAGTCTCAATTAAGGCTCACCTCGAATCAATAGCGAGCTAGGCGATACTTCAACACCAAAGTCAGAAAAAAAGATTTTGAAGTGGGTTATCTAGTTCTCAAAAAGGTCGTCCAAGGTACACAAAACTTGAACTTGAGGGCATTTGGGCCCAAATGGGAAAGTCCATTTCAGGATCTCCACAAAGTTCGCACCAAGAACTTTCCATTTGGAACGCCTTAACGGCGAAGTAATACTACGAGCCTGGAACATTGAGCATTTGCAAAGGTATTACCGATGAGCAGCTCGGGTTTCACCCATGTCTTATTTAATCATTCATTGTAAGGCCGATTATGGCCAAAATGTCCTATCAATAAAAAAGGTATTATTCAGAACTTTACTTTGTTCACTATTCTTATTTACTTGTTTAGCGTCTATCATTCATTGCTTCAAAAATCGCGACTCACGCGATAACATCTAAAAAACTCAGAGTCAAGAGTTCGAAAAAAGCAGCTTATTTCAATAAGCCACTCCAAAATTCAACTCTATAAGGGTGAAATATCTCAAATCGACAAAGTTAAACTTGGAAAAGTTCAAGAAAAACATGTTGAAAGAAATCAGCCTTAAGCTGGTGACCAAAACTCGAAACAGACAATGGATCTGACGTCGAAGTTGTCACAAAAGATTTCCTCGCATATATTCAAAAAAGTTCCTTAAGAAGCGAGTTACTCATAACTTGGAGCAAATTCTGATTTTTTTATGTTAAGTCCAGTTAGAACGATTGAAATGACTCTGTAGGATTATAAAAAGAATTGCTCAATGATGGGAATGCAAAATGTCATATTTAACCCCCTTAATGTCTAGTCTTTTATACTTATTTGCTGCCTAAATATACTCATTATTATTCTATTTTGATTTAGGATGCAAATGGAGGCGTTAATTGCAAAACGGAACTAATTAAGTGAATTCGGACAGTTTCGATGTTGTTTCGCAATCCGGGCATAACTCTCTCATCCGAGCTCCGATTGAGATGATTCAAAATGCTATGGAACGCTAAGAAAGAGATATACAACTTTCATGTTTGAGTTTTGAGAGATACTCTCTGCATCAAGGTTGTAATCGAGCTTGAAGTTGACGCATCTACACTAGACGTCCTAGAACATTCTGCCTTGTCATGCAAATCAATTGGGCAATTTATTATTGGAGACATGTGGCACGCAAGTTACAGCTCAAAGTCACCACTTTCCTATTTTATTTTGGGACTTTATCTTATATCAATTAATTAGAATTAAATTAGGATTAATGTTATTTTAGGATAGGAGAATATTTCTTTTAGGAGATTGAGTGGGATTCGAATTCTAAAACTGGATTTTTGCAAAGGGATCAGATGGAGGTTTTTGAAAAGGACCACGTCTCTTTCTTCTCTGTTCTGGAATTTTTCTTTCTCTTGAGTTTTTGTTATGGCCATGAGCGGCTAGAACTTTTGTAACTTGGTCGAAGGAAACGAAGGCCTCGGAATCATTAAACTGTGAGATCTAATATATTTTTCTTAGTGTTCAATTTTCATGTTTGAGTATTGGATGTTTTTCTATGCCTAATTTTATGATTGTTTCGTTTAATTACTAGGGAGGCCTACTAGTTTATTAATTGTTGCAATCTACTGCTAAGTTAGATATCAAATCCGTAATTGTTTGATCCCTCTAACTTGTGAAGCAATTAGGGTTAATAATTCGCTGTGTCAGGAATTAGTAATCTTAAGAAGAGCATTCAACTAAATTAAATACAACCGCTTGTGTTTGTGTTGTTTAGCTTCATCGATTTCTCTAATTCTTAAGGCTGCCACTAGATTAAATCTTGAGCGCTTGTCTAGGGTTGTTTAGTGGTAAGATTAATTAAGATCGCTTGTTTCTTGATTAATTACAATTAAGGAGAGATAGGAAAAATAGTTCCAACGGTGAATATTCAGGTATGGATTGATTTAATTTTGCATCAATGATCAGTTGTAAGATTCCGATGGCGGATGTTGTCTGAGACCAAGTTTTGTTATATTAATTGATTTCGATTTAAATTGTTTTTTTTTTATTTTTGCTAAGACTGTTTTCTGTTTCACTAAAACCCCCCCAACCTTGTTCACATCATCGAAAATTCGGCTAGACACTCTTCGTGGGATTGACCCTTGCTTACCCTATTTACAGTTTAGTAGTTAGGTTAGAAAGGTTATTAATCTTGGTTGCCTACGACAGCACACCACTCAATGAGGATATATTGAAATATCTTTTTTTTTTCATTAACAAATTCGATTACAAATTTAACCAAAAAAAATGGAGATATAATGATCTTTCAGGCAGGTGGAGGAGTAGGGACATCATCTTCAACCAGACCGGGGTGCTTGCCACTGACTGGAAGAAATGGTCCTCGACAGAAGGAATGGTAGCAGTCTCTTCAAGGTTAGGAGCCTCGCCCGGAGGAAGATCGACAACTCTGAGGGGAAGGGTAGTCAGGGGAGTCGGATCCTCGACTTCTTGCTTGAGGCTAGTCTCCTCTTCACCTTCCTCGACCTCCTTTTAGCCCTCACCCTCATCCTCAGAATCATCCGAGTATACGTAGGCCATTCCCTGAGCTTCAGTCTTCTTCCTATCAACCTCTCTCTGATAAGCTCGCAGAAGGAAAGAGAAGTTGATCAAGGGGTGAGCTTCCCACAACTTCTACACGAGAAAAAACCGATGTCTACCAAGCTCGACCGGTTATAGCCTCATTCAGCTCCTTGATTTGAAGCCTGAATTGTCCAGCCTCAACTTCAGCTTTTTGGTCGACCTTCTGCTTCTTGGGCAAGGTCGAGCGAGGTCTATTTGAACTTGACCTCCTAATCCAAGGTAGCTTTTTGGGCTGAGGAAAGCTTAGAATTCAACTTGTTATTGGCACCCCACTGCTATGTCGAGCTTTTCTTCGCCTTGGTTGCTTCTGCTTCAGCCTTAGCTCACGCGGCCTCACTGACCTTGATTTTGTCAAGGAACTCCCTTTCCTTGACCCCGAAGGCCATCATCTCCTCCCTAAGCTACTTGAGCTTGACCTGTTTGGCTTTTTTCTCCTTCTCCGCAACCTCGGCCCTGGCCAGAGTATCCTCCTTCATTGTCTCCGCCAGTTGCCACCCTTTATGAATGCCTTCCAACGTGGGATAAAACTCATCATAGAAAAGCCTGCTTGCCATGGCAGCCTAAAAAAGATAGGATGGAAAGTCAGCAACGAGTAATGATAGCATGAAAATAAAAGAAAAAAAAGGGCGAACTACTAGTACCTTCGCCATATAGCTGTACACGTAGTCCAGCATCTGGATGGGAGACGAGTCCCTAATGCCCACGAATGTTCGCGAGGTGATACCATCCTTGGCCGCTGCAACCTTAACGCTGATATGGTCAAGGAGTTGGTCGATCAAAGCATCGACCGTAGCTTGAACCGCCTTGTCCATCTTTTTGCCTCCTTGTCGAGACGAGTTGGATTTACTTCCCTTGGCAGCAGCAGTCTCGCTGGCAGGAGAGAGCTTCTTCTTTGCCAAGTCCTTGGCCATTGACTTTTTTGGGCCGCCAGCTTGCATGTCGACCTCCTTGCCTCAGCCACCCTATTGCTTGGCCACTTTCTGCTTTCTCGAGCCCCCTTGAGGCTCAATCGATTTCTTCTTACAAGAGCAGTACAACTACTCAGGTGCCTTCTATTTCCCCGAGCCTCCAGTTAGCTTGGGTGTTTTCTTTGCTGGCTTCTTTTGGGGCTCGGGGACACTTTTCTCTCCAACTGCATTTGCGGCAATCGCAGGCTTTTTTTACACTTGGGCCTTCCCCAAGTTCGCCCCCGCTACGCTTCACGTCGGTAATTTTAGTGTGTTGCTTCATTGCCAAAGCAGCCAGTGTTTTCTTGGTAGCCACAGAAGTCGCCGTCTTCTTCTTAAGGCCCTTTGGTTTTTCGACCCACATTTCTACAAAAAAAAGAAGCAAACGTTGAGCAACCTGTTTACGCGGGAGAAATAAGAGCGAGCAAATGATAACTTACCTTTCTCAAGAATGATAAGAAACTTGGCGTTGTCCTCACTAAAGCTGTACGCCTTCAAGTGCGAAATTGAAATGATCTCATTAACGTTGTGCTATCTATCGGGAAGGTCATTAAAACACTAGAGCCTCTGCAAGCTCACAGCAGGGAGATAGTTTTGCTCGACATTAACTGCGAAGCAAAGCAACTCAGTTAGCTTAAACATAGAGTTTGAAAGCGATCTCCACATGCACTAGGAGTCAAAGTCTTACTCGCTTCTGAAGCGAAAACGCCAGTCTCTCGGGCCTCATGAAAGAAAAATTAGGAGTCCCAATGCGGGACCTTTTTTGGGACGTCGACCAGCCCATTGAAATGTACTTTCCTCACTTTAGAAAGGTAGTACATCTGGTCTTGCCCTTTTTTTACTCTATATAGATGGACAAGCTCCTTGATGGATGGCTCGCCCAAATCAGCGATCACGTATGCTATATACAGACCTATGATTATGACATATGAGTTCGCGAACAACTGAATAGGAATGATGTCAAACCGTCTCATAACGCTATCAATAAAATGATGAGGGGGAATAGATACCCTGCATCTTAAGAGGGTCTCAAAGATCGCCACCCATCCGGGTGGGGGATTCTTCCGAGAAGAATCCTCGAGAACCATCGAATTGAGTTGTAGCACATAAGTCTCTCTTATACGCCTCAGGTCCTTGACGTTAATCAAGGATTGCGGTTCCCTCTACAGCATATGAATTGGAGACTGCTTGGACTAGGCCAACTGTACTGAGGCACGATTAAACGAGCTTGCCGCGTCAGGGTCCAAGCTCCACGCGACGATTTCCTCGGAAACCTAGGGGATTATACCCTCAAGGACTGCCGAGCCAGTGGGTAATTGAACATCCAATCAATCGTGTGACTACTGGACGAAGACATAATTAAAGCTCGCTTCTGGGTACCTAAAACAGAAACGAACATGTGTCAAAGCTCGAAAGACTCGGCGACCTATCCACACTTTGCTTTCAGTTTAGGCACCTGAGATAGATCGCACCAAATGACGAATGCACGCAACCTATCCAGGATTCTGGCAACCAACACGTTAAACCCTCCTTAAACGCAAGACCATCGGATACAAGCTTAAAAACCCTAGTAAACCCCTAGAAAGCTCAATGTCGCCACGATAATGGCCACCCTTAGTAGCAAAAATTGAGAAAGCAACTAAAGAGAGGGAAAGAAGCCTTACTGGAATAAGAGAATGGGAAGAACTCGTCGGAAAAAGCACCATGACGACGATGAAGCAGCAACAGAATAAGCAAAAGACGTCAAAAAATTTTCACAAGTTGAGTGAGTTTTTGACAACTTTGCTCTCTTTTATAGTAGCTTGCATGGGAGAAGAAAAGGCAGGGTTTGATCGTAATCGTCGATCTATAATGAATCTTGACCCTCTATTTATCGAGCAATCCTAGACCTTGGACATGGACATGTGTCAATCATCAACGAGGGGCGACGAACTGTCAGACTACTATAATCATAACCATCATCGTATGTCACCTTAACTCCGCACGTGGACAGTTGTAGTCACCCACGCGCGATGAAATGGTACTGCCTAAGGCTGTCACATTTAATGCGACATGATCGCGTGGAATTTACATAGTTGTCCTAACTATTCATATTCCAAGTTTGACAGGTGTTAGAGTAGGTGCCCTAGAGCCAATCAATTATTGTAGAATTGACTCTTTGTAATAATGTTTATTGATCAATAAAAGACATTTTATTCTATATCACGTAAATCATATTGTATATATTGATATATGTCTTTAGGATGGTAGAACCGTGATGAGGGTATCAAGTGTTTCAAATCTTGATGATGAGAACCCTATGAGCAATATGGTGGCCATTCTAGAAACGTTCGTAGCCTTAGTATTATTCTAAAGTAAGGGCATAAATAATACAGTAAGGCTATCATAGTGTTGACGACCCTGTCGAAAGGTAGTGACTGATCTCACTTGTCAAGGTTGTTTGGTGACAACCTGATACAACACATGGGTGCTTGCTGTAGGCAAGTTCACTGGACTGACCCACCAGAGGATTCCATATAGATGGTAACCCTAGTGTTTATGGAACAAATCCTCTAACGAATGGTGGTGCATGTGATCCTTAGACTTAAGATCACCGGAGCGCCTTGTGCATCGATTAGTGTAGTTTGACACTAGCCCAACGTAGTTCTATTAAGAGATATCAATACGGTAGTGATTGACTGCATCAATGAGTGTATTAAGACTATGGTGGATCGATAGAGGATTCATCACTCCCGGGTACAAGAGAAGTTATCTCACGGCGTAATTCAGTAAATGGCATTGACACTAAAACTATGGCCACAGTGGGATTGAGTTGTTGCTCAATCCAGTTTATTATTCCGGTCATTGGTCCAGTAACTGAATACATACATATCGAGAGTAATTGAGGTTGACACTATTTCTGTGTCTCGGTCTCTATGAGATAACAAATGATGAAAGGATTGAATTGTATGGTAACCATGTCATTGACAGGCAGCTACTTCGCTGAATCCGAATCTATCAAATGGCCATGATGCCTTGCTAGGGATCAATCTTGGTCTGTGTGTAGTGAGACGATTAATTGATGTTGATCATGATACTACACACTGCCGGTATGATGAGGAGCCTACGGGTCACACACATAAAAGATAATTTAAGAATCAGTTTGTGAGAAGGGTGTTTTCATCTTTTTAGGTGAAATGGTATTTTGGTAATCTCACAGTGCAATTAAATTTGCTGAGGTTGTTGCCTTTATTTAATTTGATATTAAAATTAAATAAGGGAGATTATATTTAAATATGTGTACGCATATATTTAAATGAATTATTGTTATTGTTAAATGTTAATATATTTTATATATATTAATTGAATTGAATTGAAATAATAATAATTAAAATAAAAATATCTAAATGGGGCTGTTTGGACATAGGGGCTGCATGTGTTCTATGAATTAAATAACACTTTTCATTTAAGTCATTTTATATCATATTCATTAAAAGCTCCAGCCCACTCTCTATCCCACACCACTTTACTTTGTATGAATCAAATTCATTTGATTCTTGTTCTTGATTCTTGAGGCTAAAGAGGATCTAGCAAATCCCTCTTTAGCTCTTCGGGTTATCTTCGTGTGGACTACCGCTGGTTCGATTCTACTTTGAATCGGTAGAGAACCCAGTTCGAGACAAATTCGAATGAGCCTCCAAACGTGTGTATGAACTCTTATCTTTACTCTGACTGTTCATATTACTGCATAATATTTTATTTAACATATTATCTGTAATATATGTATCCTGATATTGGCCTAAAATGGAATCGATCGCTGTTTTATTTTTGTTTTTCCGCTGCCACGGGTTAGATCGTTTCCTAACAACAGGTGCCACAGAGGAGAGAAGATCGAAGTGTGAAGTAAGTCGACCGGGCATGGGTTTGACCCTCAAAGCTCGACCAACCTACGTCTGATGGCCTACTAACGACACCGAGCTTGATATTAAATCGAGTAATAGTTTCAAATCTTGAAACGAGCATCGAACACTAGGGAGCAAATGTTGTGTGTGATTTTTCCACCAAGCTCAGAGCATCGCAAGGATATAGTTCGATCCAAAACCAGCTAGACTCTATCGATTGTCCAACCCAGCATAAGCTCATCGAGATATAGCTCGACTCAACACAAGCTAGTCGCGAACAAGTGATCATTCAACCAATTCCCAAATAACTTTATATCCTAGATATCTCAGGAATGATCAGATTGACAGCAATCTTTGCGCAATCCCAACGCCTAATCACGAGAATATAGGAGTTGCATTTCAATTTAATGGTAATCTCTTTATTTTCGCTCTTTCCTTTTGTACAAACTTCTTATATAAACCCCCTCAAACAATAAGGAAGGGGTTGGAAAAAATTCCTAGAATTATTATTGTAAGCTCTCGCAAGAAATAAAAAGAACAGTGGACATAGGCTCAAGAGTTCATCTCGCCGAACTACTTTAAAATCCTTTTTGCCATTTACTTTACTGCATTCATTATTCATTCATTACTGGTTATCCATAATCACGCACACACTAGTTTCGATCCCCCCAAGGTCGATCGGATCACTCTAGTTGGTACAAATTTCTATATCAACACTAAAAATTTAACATATTTATTTAATTTTAATTTTCAAACGTGTAAAATGTCCACTTATTTCAATTTGTAATTTATAATATATATATAATTTTATTGCACTTCTTTTAAAAATGCATTCATATACCAATGTTTCAATAAACACTAATAACTTTAAGAGAAGGATATCTTACTTCAAAACTTTCTATTCGTAGTTATCAATACTAAAAGTAAATTTAAATAAATAGGAATTAATAACAAAACATGTGACAAAATCAATCAAACCAAGTATTACAAATTTCCTTGATGAGAATCTGTTATACCAAATTTTTCTTTTGCCAATATGAGATTTAGAATTGATTACTTGTTGGTAAGAGTTTGAAGGTTTGT